GAAAGAAGCTACGCGACGATCGGGCCTCGGTTTCGAGAGTTCCGGTTGCAGCTCCATCCACTATTTGCCTCTTTCTATTTACTCTGTTCCTCGTTTCTCCGCGTGTTCCGTTCCCGCGTTCGCTGTCCCTGCCTGGAAAACCTTCGGGCAGCCACATTCGTAGGAACTCACGGAGCTGCGCGATTAACTGGTTTCGACTTTGCCGGCATCGTAGGTAGTGGTATCTTTTCGCTGTCCGGTTCGATTTATTTATCCCTCGCTCGGTATCGCTCGAGCCATCGAGAGTTCGAATCGAGTAGCGGCTCGATGGAGGACAATGCGACCGGGTAGCTGCGATTTCGCCGTCCAAACCTAACGAGAATCCTCGATTCTTTCCTCCCGGTAGCTTCTACCGAGTCCTCTGCCCTCGGAATTCCATCGAAATTCGCGTTTGCGTTACGATAATTCTAAACGTCGTCGGAAGCTTATTTCCAGGCCTGTTTCTCCGTTATTCGGGCACCTGGATTGCTAACGATAGCGTGACCGACCAGGCGATTTTCGATAGGAAAGGATTCGATCGTTTTCGCGAACGAACGGACTCGCGAAATCGAACGTGAAGCGTCGACCTCTGTTTCCGCGGTCCGACAAACACGGTCCCGTTTCCGTTCGTCGATTCCGCGCTTATTTACTCGGACTAGCGTGCACGCGTACGGACGCGTATGCATATAACAGGGCGGGGAAAAGACTGCGCGGGCTGCTGCAACGGCGGACAAAGCGTAACCAGCGCACAAAGTGGCTTCGATTTCGGGAGTTCCGGGGTATAGTAGCCGGCGCTGTGCACTCTCCTCGAGGCAACGGCATGACGCACATCAAAGATGCGAGCGTGCCGGGTGACTGTACTCTGGGTTCATCGTTCTCGGTTATGTAATGTTCGACCGTATGGTGCAAGCGCCTCGACGCTACTCGTGGCGCTAGAGTTGTCGGACGAGAGAAGCACGATATACAGACACGGGCCGCACCGAATCCTCTTCGCTCCAATACGGTAGTCGGCCGCCTGTACGGACGATGCACGGACACGCGTGCACACGTGCTACGCTCACTCGCGCTCGCTTGCACGCGCGCACACGTACGTCCATATATAGCCGCATACACACGCGCGCGTGTAACAAAATACACTCGCGCGCGCGTGCATACGTGGCTGCGTACTCGTATACACACGCGAACGTATTTAAAATATACGTATGTATTATACGTAATATATAATATTCGCGATACCCGCGACGCTTATATCGGTTACGTACAGAGACACACAGAGACGCGCGTGAACCTCGTTTCTCTCTCTCTCTCTCTCGTCTCTCGCTTCGACAACCTCGCCGATTCTCTTCTTCCTCCCGCACCAGCGCACCCTCGTCCGTCTGTCTCGCTTTAGCGCCCTCGCAGCACACGATATAGACGCCGCATTACCGAGCTGAGAACGAAAATAGAGGGCAACGGGAGCCACTGCAGCAGCCGCATTTCTACTCTTTCTCTCCGTTCCATCGGGTCAGCTTTCCTCGTTCTACCGTTCGTTTCCGACTCCGTTTCCACGCGTTTCCCGACCTTTTCCACGCAAGCGGCCAGCCGAGCCCCCGGGGTGGATTATTTTGATTGGTACCGCGCGCGCGCGCTAGATCGCTCCGCGAGAACCCACGGACAGAGAGACGAAGCGCGCGTGCAGAGCTGATCGATCAGCTTTAAACCCCGAGACGAGAGAATTCGTCGCGCGCCTCGAGTTCCGCGTTCGCGACCAAGCGAGTCCGTGAGCGCGGCCGGTGAGCCGCGATTGATTTAGGGGTTGCTACGCGTAGGGATCGGGGTGTATTCTTGGTCGAAATCCAGGTTAGAAGGCGTATAAATAGGTCCGCCTGGAAATCGTTCCGAGGAAGCTCGATGCGCGCCGCGATCTTCGGCCCTCTCTCGATCAGCCTCCCTTTGTCCTCGTCTTCTCGATAACGTTTTCAACGAGCTAATCTCGTTACGGACAATCGTCGGGTGATTTCGAACGCTTCGAATCGTTCCAAGAATAACTTCGTTTTGCAGCGTTTCGAGGGAAACGTCTCGTTAGCCGCGTCGCGAATTGCCGCTCGTCGAGGTACGCTCTCGGCGATCGTGCTCGCGCAGCGCAGTCGATCCAGCGGAAAATCGGTTATGCGCCAACTGCCGTATCAACTGTTTAGGCCACGGTGGAAAAATTGGCAGCGCGTACGTGGCACATCCCGGCCCGTGATCTTCGCGGGATACAACGCACCGCGTGCTCGCACTCGGGCTCCCATGGCGTCCCGTTCGATACACGATCTCGCGATCGATCGGACGATATCCTGAGCCCCGTTCGATGCTCCACGACCACGAGTCGCGGAAACGGTTCGACCGATCGTTTTCGACGAACCACTGTGTGAAAAGTTGCCGCGAGTCGGCGAACGATAACGGCAGTGTGATGCGAACTGTTGCGCGTGAACGATCCACGATCAAAAGCGGAACGATCGAGCGTGGATAAACCACCGTAATATGTGTTCGATAGTGCGTACACCGAGAGAACTGTTGGTGGATTTTAAATGAAACACCCCAGTGTGGAACGTAAATGGAGGGAAGTCTCTCAACATTCGGTGGGCCAAGTTGGGGGGCGGACAGTACGAGTCCTCAGCCACCGGAAACGTCGAGAACCAGGCTGCCGGTGCAGACTCCCAGTCCAGAGAATACCCTCTTGGACGATCGTAGGCTCCAAGTCAATTCCATAAGAGGTACTCCCCAGGCCACGAGCAACTCCGCTGCGAGAAACCGTCGTTTCTTCCAGTTGTCCCGTATTCCGTGCAAACAGATCGGCCCCCTTTACCCCCGATAACGCGATTCTCTTTTATTTATATCGTGCGAGGAAAATATCTCGCCGATTCTCTTATCCCGACGATTTTATCTGAAGCGTGCGATTATGACATTCGGAAAGTTCAACGTACGCTACGCTACTTTCACGAGAAAGTGCAAAATAAAGCATCGACGAGAGTTGACGTTTCTTTCCTAGCTTTTCTTCGTCTTCCAACGTGTTACTTTGACAATCGCGTATCCGCTATCGACTGTGACACACGGATAAATTCGCTGCTTCTTATCTCCTCGTTGTTTGCCTCGAATTTCTTGTCGTCCAGGCGATTTCGATGGGAACGCATCCGGGGTAGGCAGTTACCATTCGCGGGAACACTTGCCGGCGCATGACGCGTTTCTATTTGAACGTGTTCGCGTCCCGAACTGTGACTCCGTTTCCAAACGTCGGTCATGGTTTCCTCGTGTCCCATTATCGCGAAAAGACGCGAAATTTCCCACGAGTTTCGTCGGTGACCGGCTTATGATACCATTCGAACATCGCGATGCAATCCGTTTGGTATTGTCTCTCAATCGAAAGGTTATCCATAAATATACTATGCGAGAACGACCGATGGTGTGATGAACTTCGCCGCGCCAGGAATAAAGTGGCAGCATATAAAACGCCGGACTATTCGGTCTTTCTCTTTGACACGCCGCGCCATCGACGGAATGATGGAATAGTAAATAAACGTCTCGAATTGATGCAACTTTGCCGATATTCTGGGTCGAATCGGCGACCATCGGCAAACTATATGGAGAAATAATAGGTCATCCGGCAAGTAGCGCGGTTTTTCTGCCGGCCGAGTTTAAAACGACGCGAGTCCTCGCGATAAGACTTTTACGAAAGAGGAATAGGAAGGTTAACGGAAGAATGGCAAACAGTAGTATAAAATCGTGGAAAATACGTCGATTGCTTGTTTTCGACCAACGCGATACTTTCGAGACGATTTACCAGGAAAATGAGCGACCTCGGTGCTCCTTTCGATTAATCTTTAACGCGTTCACCGCCATGGTGGTCACCGGTGTCCGACAATACCGATTTATTAAAATTTATATTATTTCTTTGAAAATTTGAACAACGTAGATAAGTAGAGAACTCTGAATAGAAAATATTAATAATTTCCACGATTTTCCTTTTCTTTGCCATATTGTTATATCGTAAGAATAATGGAGATTTTATCGTGGGCCCCTAGGAGTACCATACGAAAAGTACGTGACAATCAAAATGTTAACCTAGTCGTGAATTTTTCTAAACAACGAGTGGAAGAAAATCTTTGCGACGTTCCTTTTGGAAAGAGTTAACACGTTGGCTGCTATGATGGTCATCGGTGACCGGTGCTTGTCTCCTCAATGGGGCTATGGTGGAGACCAGTGTCCGACGATATTAATTTTTTAAATTTACGTTTGTCTTATTCCAACCAATTTTTAAAAATTTAAACGACGTGAATAAACAGAGAATTTTGAACAGAGGATATTAATAATTTGCACCATTTCCTTTTCGCCATATTGTTTTATAATTCGTCACTATATCGTAGGAATAATTGGATATTTTATCGTGGCCCCCTGAGAGTACTATATAGTACCATATGCCATATACCATGGCAGACAAAGTGTTAACGCTTTATCTCGCTATTCACCCGCCATTAATTATTCGAAACTTCGAAGCTCTCGAACGCGTAATTTCTGAATCGAAAGTTTCGCGCGTAAGCGAATAAAGGCAGAATGAAACTTGGAAAAATTTGCTTATCGGCGAAAAGGAAAGGAAGAAGGTTTGTCGATAAGAAGCGGGAATCGATATAGATGAAGCAGGAGAAACGAAAGTAACCGGGGGCTACGCATGCAACACGCGACGAGTGCACGCGTCGACCCTCGATTATCGTATCGGTTTCGGATCGGCACGTGAACTAACGGGGAATTTAACGTTTCCTTTGTGCTTTCAGCCCAGATCGAAATAATCCCGTGCAAGGTGTGCGGCGACAAGAGCAGCGGCGTTCATTATGGCGTGATCACCTGCGAGGGCTGCAAAGGCTTCTTCAGGCGGTCCCAGTCGTCGGTCGTCAACTATCAATGTCCGCGGAACAAGAATTGCGTGGTCGACCGTGTAAACAGAAACCGGTGCCAGTACTGTCGGTTGCAAAAGTGCCTACGCCTCGGCATGTCCAGAGATGGTGAGTGCATATCGTTGATTCGAGCCACCGTTTTCTCGGAGAACCTCAAGGTTGCCGGGGACTCGCGTTAGTTTTAGAGCCTCTAACGAGCAGCCTAACGACTGCCGCTTGGAAAACCATGTCGCTCCGCGGCCAATTTATTCGCGGATGTCTCTCCGTCCATCGGTCGCAACGTTTCTAATAAAAATCGAGCAAATTCCTATTTTTCGCTCATCATCGATACTCGTAAATTACGCGGGAAACAAAGGGAAAGCGAATTTGCTTTCATCGGGCCGGTCGAAAAATGATTTCTTTGTAGTTGAATAAATTCTACGCGATGTGGGGTCGATCATGGGATTTTTTGGGAACATCTTTTTACTTGCGTGGTCCTAGACGGATAGGCCAGTTCTAACCTAGACATTTATACAGTTTTTCCACCGTTTGCACTTGGTACTATTTCTTTGCGTTATAACTCGTTAACTGATTTCCATGATTTATTCTTGCTTTAAAATATTCGTTATTTCGATCTCAAAATAAAGGGTTCTTGAAATAATTGTATCGCGAATATTTCACGATTAACTTTCAAATTTATTTGTCAAAAAGTTTCAAGGAATATAGATCTTCGGGTACGTTTGCTTTCCGCGTGCTCTTAATTTCGCGGTTGGCTTTCGAAAGGGTTTCGAATAGGGGCGAGCGATGTTTCGATTTTTATTAGCACCGGTAAAGAAACGGTAGAGAAAGCAATCGGTAAACGAACGGACTGCGCGATAATAACGACGCGCGAGTGTCGCGCTAGGAGAGAGCCAGCGACGATGCAACAAATCACGAGCTTCGATATGAAAAAGGAATTTCTTTGTTTCCAGCGCTATCGCTCGTTAAGTTACGCGACACGTGAACGTATCCGTTGGTTCGTTACGCGTACTCGTGCGTTCTGTTCCACCGAATATGACAGGCCGATAGATAATTGCGAAATAGAATTTATATCGCGACTATCCCGTTCGATATTCCGCTTTTTCTACCCCTCCGGTGTCGCGACTCGTATTCGCGAATACGGATAGCGTGTGCCGCGTATTTGCGCGGCTTATGTCGTAATACGTCGATTTATACTTCCGATACGTATTTCTTTCACCGTCTCGTAAAAATCTCGTTTCCGCATACCGATTCCGCGCGCGCGGGCCTTCGAAAAAGCGAATTTACCGAAACACTTTTACGAACTCGAGTATAGAAGAAAGGGAAAAAGGAAAAAAAAAAAAAAAAAGAAAAAAATAGGGAAAAAGAGAGAAAGGAAGAAGGGAAAATACAAGTCCGTGTTTCGATAACGCAAATTGCCACGTATTATTCCCGAAGCGTGGTTCTCCATGAAACGACGTTAAAGCGGAATTTCGAGCTAAAGCCAATTCATCGGGCACAAGTGGCACAATGGACAGATCGTTGCGGATATATTTGGGAACGTTTCGGTGCTCGAACGTTTTACCAATTTTATTCGTTCGGATCGATGGAAATTTCGCAAATTTACGTTCCACGCATTTCCATGGCGACGTCACTCGTAAACATTGGCTCCGCGCACGGGACTGCGAGCGGGAGGGAAAAACAGAGGCGGAGGAGCAGCGCGAGAGAGAAGGCTAGAGGAAAATAGAGAAAGAGCGCGAGAGATGGAGCTCGTCAAATCAGATACACGGGGATAGCAGCGGCCACGCGTGCCGCTCGGGGTGTACGACCCTTTATCGGAGGCTGTCCAGCCCTCCTCTCGACCCGTCCCTCCTCTGCCTCCCGACACCCCCGCACGCTTCTCTCTCCTTCGCTCTCCTTCGCTCTCCTCCCGATCCAGCTAGGCCTCTTACCGCGTTGCTGCACCTTATCGGACCCCGGGTACTTACGCGAGATGTCTTGGACACGTTTAACGACATTCACGCGCAACCGTCCAGGCCCGTGCTTCCACGACGCGGTGGCAGGTAGCTTTTAGACCTCCACGTGCTTCCCAGTCTTTAGCTTTATCGCGCCAGTTTCACCCAATCCAACGCCAACATTTACATTGAAATTTCTTGCAATTTCTAGGATGAAATCAAACCGTTTAGCGGGCAGGCAAGTAATCTCTGTTCAATTATATAGCAATAGATATTATATAAAGATTATCGTAGGTGAAATATATACACTTACGCGAATATTAAAAAGCAGATGTTTAAACGCGCCCTTATGAATTACAAGACTTCAAAGCATTCTACATTGTTCGGGATTTGAAACTGACTGCTGCAAGGGACAGCAGGCCCTTTAACCATTTGCACTCGGCGAATTTTTTGGTAACAGGATTTTTTTCTGGCATGAAGTCTAGGATATTTTTAAAATGGTATAGAAATTAAGCCATTCCAATCGTCGTATCGTAATTTTAAATTCGATGTATCGATTAACAACGATTTTCACAATCCGATTATACGACGACCGAGGGTCGCCTCTCGAGTGCAAGGGGTTAAACCCAAAAACCGACCCCTTGATGCCTGCATAGTATCGAAGATCCTTGAAATCCAAAAATCGGTATTGCCCTGCAACCTCTGGCAGACCTGTCATCATTGTCGCATGACAAAATTTTCATTTTTCTCGTCTCTTCCTTCCCATTTTCTTTCCTTGTTATGTATTTACCTTAGACTTCCCTTCGAATTGGATTTTAGTCGAGAGAGAATTTTCAGGGAAGGTTAGTCTTTACGCGAGTAACTCAGGGGTCGAATTTCGAAACCAATTTTGAAATAAATTTTTAATTTTAACGAGTTACCCAGAAAATTGGAGATATTTTTATAAATAAAGGGATATTCTCGTGAAATCATTCGAAATATTATGTATTCTACGTTTAACCCGGAATCGTGGTGTAAAAATTCGCGAACCCCTCGGTTTCGATGGATTTCCCGGTCGTAGCGATATGAAAGCTGTCTATGAACATACTTTTATAATTAAAGGGATATTCTCGCGAAATAATTCGCAATATTATACGTTCTACGTTTAACCCGAAATCGTGGTGTAAAAATTCGCGAACCCCTCGGTTTCGACGGATTTCCCGGTCGTAGCGATATAAAGGCGTAATTATTGTTAAAAGGGGGATCATCCGTTTTGAATTTCCACGGTATGCCGAAGCACGTCTACGCGCGTTCAAGTGCTCCATGGAGGCTGTTTCCACGGTTCGTTTTTGCGAGTGCTCGTAAAGTTTTTTAATGAACACTCGCTGAGTTTTCAGGTTTCTGCCGGCAGATAAAAAGCCACGTTCGATAAGTAGCAGCCGAAAAGCAGGACATTGCGGTCGCGTCTGAATGGAATCGCAGCTGCCTTTGATACGAGGAAACGGACTTTGTCGCCGATCTAATTCCTCATCTCGCGTTTTCGCGCTCCCACGTTGCGAATCGCCATACGTTCCGCGAAATCCGCCATGCAATTTCGTAAATTATTTCCGGTGAAAAATTCCCCGAAATTTCTTCAAATTTTCCTCGAACTCGCGACAGAGGGCAGGGCGAGGTCCTCCGAGGTGGAAGTAGCTGGAAATTCCGATAGGAACGAAGCCGGTTAGATTAGCTGGATCAACAGAGGTTTGGAAATATCATTCTAATCGCGTAGCTCGGTTCTTCGATAATCGGCCGTCTCCTCGCGAGCCATCGTTTGCAAATGCTCGATAAGGATCCAATCGGTCTTCCTCTCGACCGTACGCGATGCTGCTTATCCGAGAACATCCTCCTTTAATCGACGGATTAAAATAGCATTTATCGAGTGACCGATCTGAAATCTCCGCGTTTTTTTGTTAATCAGTCGTTCACCTCGGCTCATGATATTCGTGATCGTGCTCGAATATCTCCAAACGAGATCTCTCGTCGACTCTCCGATTCTTCGAAAAGTATCCGCTCTTAATTTTCCACGACGTTTTCTGCGAGCTCGTTACCGGGATTTTCCACGGTTACCTGCATCGGTTTCAAATTTCGCCGCTTTTCCATATTACTCTGCCTAAAAACCCATTCTGGAAAACACGCGCGAGCCGAGAGCGAGGGAAAAATAGAGGAAAAGGATCGGTGTAGGGTTTCCTAGCGTATAATACGCTGATGGGTTGGG